GCTCATTACGATATCTTCTATTGAATTCGTGGAGAGAGTTGTGCAAATTAATTTGCATTTGAGAGAACTCGTCACAGGTCCACATGGTAGGAGTTATAGTTTACCTCTTCGTCAAAACTAAAAAATACCTTAATTTATTGATTTAAAAGACTATGTTTTTCAAAGGAGAAAAAAAAATAAAAAAAAGGGTAACTTTCTCAGTTGAATATACATATATTTCTAATCTCATCCTAAATTAGTATTATATTCTTAAATATTTGGATAAGTTTATAATTATTGTTTTCATTTAAATTAGCTAGCATTGATTATGGTCCATTATCATAAATAAGTTATTATTTGTTTTAAGTTTGAATTTGATTCTATTATAATTTAATATTTGAAAATTATTTTGGTAATTATTATTAACTTGATTTTGAAGCGATATTAAATTTATGGATGCACTGAAACAAGTTATTCTTATTTCTATGGTGGGTTTTAGACGTTTCTATTGAAAATAGAATATAGTTGAATAGACTAATGAAAAATAAGGATTATGATATGTTGGGTAATATTATACAAATTGATGGAATAATCTCAAATGATAATTATTAAAGTTTACAATTAGATTTCAATGATTAGGTGAAGTCCGATTTAAATTAAATTTAACCAATTTGATACAAATTGAAATTAATTTTTTAAAATTTATATCTGATCATTTGATTTACATTAATGGAAAAATAATGTTTAAAACGACGACAATTTAGGTAATGTGATGTGAATTTTATAAATATGGATTAAATTAAACTTGTCATAATAAATAATTTTTATATTAGTTTAAAATCTAATCGTCATTATAACTAATTTAATATGTCTTACCATATTTTAACCGTCATAATATTATTTAATAAATTTAAATTGATATATACAATTTTTATACCATTATATTTTTTTTATTACAGCTAGAGGTGATAATTACAAATATTTGTAGTTTCTTAATCTTAAAATTAAATTTAAATAAATATATATAAAAAATACTTGTTGTACTCATTCTAAATAGAAATATTAATAAAAATAATTATTGTAATTAGGTTAATTATAATAAAATTCTTTAAAAAAATTCTCAAATGATAACTCATCAATAGCAGTTGAATTTTGATAAAACATATAACTCCAACTTTCTTTATCTTAGTGTTTAGGGTTTTATAACTACAATTGAAAGTTGTAAAATTAACTATTGTTTTGACTTGAAAAGATGTTTCGGGAGAAACGAAAAGTTGAAGGAGAATACTTGAATCACAATATACGAGCAAGAGGTTAACCAATACAGGAGAGGATGAAAGGAGAAGAGAAAAGAGAAAAAGAAAGTAAAAATATAAACTTGGAGGAAAAATAAACAAAATATAAAATATAAAATGAGAAATATGATAATAATTTTAATTATAATTCTATGTTATGAAGATGATTATAAAAAATGATTTTTTATAAATTAATTTTATAATAATAGTTTTTAAAAAAATTTCACGTGTGAAATATAATTATAAAAAAAGTATTATTATATATAATATATGATAACAGTTAAAATAATTATTATTATATATAATATGTGATGATAATTATAATTAAATTATCATTAAAAAATAAAATATAATTACAATATTTTTTTCAACATTATACTATTCATATATCATCTTTAATCTATTTTAATTCTCAAGGAAGAAAAATAAAAGACTGTAATAATAATTTAAAAAAAAACATTGATCATTAATGAAAACAAGAAAAAAAGCCACCAGTTGAAATGTAACATATTAAAAGAGTTTTTTAACACAGGATTAGAAAACAAAGAATTGAAGATGAATATACGAGTTTATACCCCAATATAATAAACACTATATTATAAAAAATATATATCATATATATTTATTACATTTGTTAGAAATACAATCAATTCAGTATTTACAAAATTATTATCATATAAATTTTTATATCAATTTTTCTAACTAATATTATATTAGCAATGTAAATTCTTGTTTATACTAATATGTACAGCAACATCATGAAAACTAATAACTTTTTAATAAAAAATTATAAATTAATTTTATATATAAAATTTAAAGAAAAATAATTTTTTTCTTATTTAATATAAGATTCAGGTTTAAATTTTACATTGTAATCTCTTAATCATTCATAAGAAGAAATAATATCAATAAAACATAAATCCAAAATTTATATAAAAATAAAAATCAACTACAATTCAAAATTTTGAAACATTAAATTATAAATCATATTTTTTTATATATTTTTTCACTTTCTTATCTTTAATCAATACAATATTTTAATACACATTTAAATTTTTTATCATCCATAATATTCGATTTCCATCCCAAATCATAATACCAAAACCTAATAAAAATAATTACTTCAACTCACTGTTTGAAATACTCATAATTTTTTTTTTTTTTGTTTACTATAGTTTAATGAGTGTATTATCATTCATAGATAAACGCTATTCAAATTAGTCGTTAACATTCATGGTTCTATATATTCACAAAAATAATAAATTTTAGGTTATTATTAACTCAATCAAATCTGTTTCAGTTTTAGTATGGAATATAGAAGATAATAAAATAAATAATTTTAAACAATATATATATATATATATATATATATATATATATATAAATATATAAAAAAATAATATAAAATGTAAATTAAATATTATAGTACTACGCTCAGTAGTTTTCCACAATTCAGACTGCTTTATCTCCTTGTTGGGTGAAACAGTATCGCGAAACTTTCTTATTTCATGTTATTCCAAACAAGGCCACAAAGTGTATAATATTTTTATAATTATTATTTTTTAAATATTATTTTTATTTTTTATTTTTATTTTTCTACGTTTATTTTTCATTGATTACATTGCATGTTTTTTTCTCTATCATACTTTTATTATATTTTAAATATATAAATCATAATTTTTTTTAACTATACATTATTAATTTTTTCTCTTTCCAATAAAATTAAAAAACAGTTATAAAAAAATTCTTTTTACATATAAACTAGTGCAAACACAAACATTAAAGTGTCTGCATGTTTATATGTTTTTTAATTATTTTTTTTTAAATATTATTTTAAATATTATTTTATTTTTTAAATATATCCACTTTTTATATATTTTTACTAGTTTTTAAATATATAAATCACAATAACTATTTTTTTTCTTTAAATTATAATTTTTTTCTTCAATGACACAAAAAATTGTTATTAAAGGATTTATATTTTTTATATTTAATTATAGATATGATATAAATAGACTAGTGAAAATACATGTGTATTCACATTTTTTATGTTATTAATTTTTAAAATAATTATATTTTATACATTTATTATCTTTACTTTTATGTGTTATATTTTTTTATTCATATTTTTTTCTTTTTCTTTTTATATATATATAAAGCAGTTTTTAAAATTATTTTATTTCTTGTTTTCTTTTTACTATTCTATATTTTGTATTTATTCTTTTCTGTCATATCAAAACAGTTAAAAAAAGGAAAAATACTTTATATATATAGTATATTATATTTCTTTGTATAAAATGGCATATAATATTTAAACATTATTTAGAAACTGAGTTTGGGGTAAAATTAATCCGACTCCAAATTTGCAAACATATAATTCGGCAACTCATAACTCCTCTGAAAAATGCTAATAAATCTGAGCAAGTTTGTTCTGGAATTCAATACTAGATATCGTGACACGCTTGCTTTTCTTGTTTCCCAATCAAAATAAAAAATCACAAGGACCTCCACATAAATCCCAGCTAACCAATTCATTTTCCAGAAAATTCCACAACCTCAACTTTACTGCTGTGTATAGTGGTCCTAAACCCTACTTATTCCAATTATGTCATTTTAATCAAGTCAAAACACTGCATCAATGTCATTCAATTAACATAATAGCCACAACCCTGCATCCAAATAAAATTTTGTCTTCTTTCTTCTATAAGACTTAGAGACCCATCAACTATTGTCAAGTAATGTCATCTTTATTCCCCTTTGATAAAAGTTTTTGCAACAGATAGCATTGCACGAAGATAGTAGAATATTAAATTCTCTGTGATTCCCAACAACAAACTTACATTATATGGTAGGAACAGGAACTTCGTTCTTCTAATATTTCTTTGTTTTTTGTGCTAGTTCCAAAGTAGTATATATATATATATATATATATATATATATATATATATCCATATTTGTATAATCCTTCTACACAATCTACACGGTGTTTTGTCATGTAACCAAAAATCCTCACCCTGGCTGTGCTATTACTTTTTCCGAGGAATAAGAAGCTTTCAGTGCTACACTATTTCCCAGAAGAACCATTCTAATAGTTTTTTTTTTCTCCCTTTAAACCGCAATAAAACTGCATAACACAACAAGCACTAAGAAGAAAAAGCACTAAGAAGAAAAGGACGACACAACCAGGCATTATTGAAACCAGACCAATACGTTAACATTAGGAAGAATATACAGATCCAAACAAAGCAGAAAAGGTACTCAGCAATCAGACAAACTTTTCTAGTTCCAAGGTCAACGCGTAAGCTATGATCATGTAGCAAACCAACACAAATACAACTTCACTCTCAGTCCCTCGTTCTCATTAACCCCTTTTCGTTAACTTTACCATCCTCAGAGTAGACAAACAAAAACAATGCATAAAGTAGGTGTAAATGGTAAAGGCATGCCTAGCCCAAAAACAATGATAAACTTGACAAGTTCAAGATTGTCCAACTCCAACATACCAATAATAAAATATATTGCTTACATATTCTCCATACATAACATGAAGCTAGCCAGAGGCATAATACAAAGTAAGCTAGAACAAAACTAATTAACTTGGTTAAACCTTAGGAACAACAAAACCCTAATGATTAAGTAGTTTCAAATTGATAGAACACACAAAGTTGTGAGAAGGCAGATTCAACAACCTGACCACATATACAACTAAAATCAGAAATAGACAAATTAAGCATTTTGCATCCTGATGGCAAAAGAATTAAGAAGCTCTTGGTACTGAAAAACATCTTCAACTATGCAATTCTCTGCATGATTCGCCATGGTTTGTTCATTCCCCAGAGCCATACCCTGCACGCTATTAAACCCATTAAAACTGTTAAATTTCTGCATGGGAAAACCCTGATGATCAAAAGACACACCGAAACTTTCATTCTTCTGGAACCCCTTTTTCGTGTCATCATGGCATTGCGCGGTGGAAACAACTGTTGATTCAGAAATAAGTGAAGGGAGAACAGACTCCTGAGGGTTTCGGAAAAACTCCATTTTTGGCAAACTGTCGCATTTATTAGGCTTCGTTTTGGGCAAGAACTTGTTAACTATCTCTTCCAACAGCCCCGAATCCGAAGACTCACGAGAGAAAAATCCAGAGCCACAATCATCATCACCTTGTTCAGTCAAATTAGTTCCACATAGGGTTTTCACATTAACAGAAGAGGAACCTTCAAAAGAAGTATTCACCGAATAACTAGGAGTGAGAGGTGAAGAAGATGAAGAAACAGAAGGTAACGATGAAATATTAGAAGCACCCTTGTTGTACAACTGGTCGTGGAAGTTGTGAGTGGAAGATGAAAGCAAAGAAGGGTTGTTTGAGGAAGAGTTAATGAGGTCGCGAAGAAGAAGTATGTTGAGTGGAGAAGAAGGGTTCCGCGGGTTGCAAAACGAAAAGTCAACGGCGCTAGGGTGGCCAAAGCAGGTGGCGGAACCGGTTAAGTTGCGGCTACGAATATTGGTGAAGGGTGGTGACGTAGAGTGTTTGGGGAAGTTGTTCTTATTAAAAGAATGGAAGAAGTGTTCGGTGGTGGCGGAGGAAGGTTGCGGAGAAGTTGGGTATACGAAGTTGGTGCGTGCTTTGAGACCGCGCATGGCCCTGGCGGCGCAGTCATAGGCACAGGCGGCTTCCTCCGCCGTGTCGAAGGTTCCCAGCCACCGTCGCTCCTTACTCTGAGGGTCTCTAATCTCGGCGGCATAACGACCCCACGGCCTGCGCCTCACGCCACGATACCTCATGGCTCCGCCGCTGTCTTCTCTCAAAGTTCGCTTGTTGACGGCGGTGGGCCGCCTAGTGTTTTCACCGACGGATGACTCTTTCGGGTCGGGTCCGGAAATCGGAGCCACACCGTTGAGGCGCCTCATTGCATCTTCCATGTTTTTTTCTGATGTGGGATTGATAAAGTAGAAATTGGAAAATGTTAATAATAATAACAATACTAAATTTATTATGCGAAGGGAGAAAGAAGAGATTTGGGTTGGTTTGATGCTGCCTTGAAATCGGTGCGTTTTGGTCTTATTTATAGAGGTGGAGTGTGAGGGAGAGTTATTGCACACGGCAACATGGAGAAGTAGATGTAGTGTTCTTTTTTTTCCCTTTTTTCTTTTTTTTTTTTTCTTTTCTTGTTGCTATATTGGAAAAGTGATTGATTTAATCATGCATGTCTAACACAACCATCGATATACAAGAGAAGGACAAAAAACAATGAGACAAATATAGAAATGCTTGACTTTTTAATCCTATATTTTTATTTCTAGATTATCGGTACTATTACTTATTATTATTTATTAATGGGCCATGTCACTGACAAAAGTTTAAAATAAATTAAGTAAAATATTTATTGTATTTGTATATGCTTGTATAATTATCTATTTTTAGTTTGTGAAGTGTGGGTATTAAATAATATTAATTTTTGTTTAGACTTATGATATATAAATATTTTTCCTCAAATATTCATCTAAACACTTTTAAGTTTTTATATTATTATTTATTTATCTTATTTTATTTTTTCTATTAATAAAAAAATAATATTTTAAAATTATCTAGGAAATGTTTAAAAAATTTGAGTTGTCGAAATATTTTGTTCCCCTTGCTTATATGAATTATAAGAGTGACATAATGCATAATTAGAAACAATTATATTTTAATTTTTTTTTATTTAAAATATATTCTAACTGTAATTAATATTAACTATATCAATAAAAGCATTGCTTGTTTTAGAAAGTTGAATTTTAAAAATAACATTAAAATATTATAAAATTTAATGTAATGAACTGATTTTTTTATATGTATAAAGTTAGTTTTTTAGAAAAAATAAGAACAGATATAGTATTTCTGCTTCTTTTGCATTATCTTTTTATTTACTTATTTATAACATTCATATAAAAAAATAATATAATTTTTTAATTTATAAGAACATGTAATGTGATCAACTTTTATATTGTATTTCCTTACTACAATGAAGTTCCCTAATCTCTAGTCTTTTCACTACTTAACTTAACACTAAAGACTCAAAGATTATTTATCCTGTCAAGCGATGTATGAATCGAGTTCTCATAAATTATATCTTTGTACCTGTCATCACCATGTTTAGTCTGACCCTCCATGGATATCAAGGTAGACACAATTCAAGATATGCGGGGAAAATTGTTTCCTACGGCATCAGTTCACACTTATAAACAAGGAGGGATAAAAACCTTGAAATTGACTTCGATGAAGATAGATTACACAGTTTATACTTCAACATTTTGAAACTCTGAAGTGAAAACTCACTTTCATATAATGCCTTATTAATTATTAAAGGTTCTAAAAGTTTATAAAACCCACTTTATATTTATCAAGTCTCAACCAATTAAAAAAATAGAAACAGTTGTTAAAAACTCTGATGCTATTGCTATCACTTTTCATGTATATTTAAAAGTTTAACGTTATGTCTCCCTTCTCCCCATCAATGTTTTTATTAGTTTGAGGGTAATATGTGGTTAATAGAGTACAGTAAATTACTGTAAGACAATGGAGCAACCCTGCATAATGTGCATGCATGACAGGATGATAATTTTTTGTTTGTCTGTCCTTGATCGTATTATACAGTGTTCTATGAAGCAGGCATGAATATATAGCTTTCTTAGATATCTTTTTTCAAAAGAACATTACTAACCTTTATACCCTCTGAACTTTTCGCATCTCTATTTTAATTACTAGGCCTAGTGATTTCGGACCACCATCGTCCTACAACCGAAGACTTTTGAAAGGCCACTATTGCTCAACCCCACTTGTATCACTCTTTTCCACGCTGAATCAGCTAAATCAATCTTTGTATATACAAGCATAATCCAAATTGATAAACCTTTCATATTCAAATTATTCATATATCGAGTGACTCAGTTCAATTAACCTATTAATATTCCTTAGATTTAGATTTGGCTCATATTATTTGTCATTTTTAAGGCTATGTATATTAAGAAAATATTGTTTGCAAAATACTAAGGAATGATGGTGATGTTGTTATAAAAAAATGATTAATACTTTTTCTCACCCATCCATGTAACAGTTTGTTAAATAATATTTTCTTATGTTTATCTTTCTCTTTTTATATTTTATTTTATGTCATAATAAAAATTAAAAATTATATAAAGTGTTGTATAGATTGATAGATTTTTATTTCTCATTCTTTTATGGGATTGACATTTGATTTTGTGGTGACTTGTGCCAGCTATTTAGCACACTTCCCTCAAGTAACAGTTATTGCCTTCGGCTATTCCCAAGACTACATGATACAATTCTGGGACTAGAGGAGAATGAATCACGTTGCCTTTTTGGGTCGTGTAAACGTTATGATTGGAGATTTTAATGAAACTGGAGTAGCAAGTAATCATAGTTTTAGGACCTTCAAGCGTTTTCCTTCCCACTTCTCCATGAAATTTTTTCAAACATAGTAAACCTGAAAGGAAAACGAAACAAAATCAAACACTACTATGCACCAAGAGCATCCAAAATTTTGATGCATGCAGGAAGGTAGTAGGTGATAAAGCTGCCCTTGAGCCAGCTGTTTCGGAGTAAAATTTTATGGGAAGTTGGAGGTGAAGTGTTAAGGTCGCTTATGATTATTATCGTTTTGAATGATTACAGTGGCGGCGCTCAGAAGTTGTTCCTCACACTTTGATGTATATTTTAAGCTTATTTGCCTGCTCTGTAGGGTGAGGTTGATTATGTAATGTAAGTGTGGATCGATGCATTTGCAGATTTGGTTATTGATCTTCGGTTTGGCTGAAAAGCAAAAGCAAGAATTAAAACATCACATGGAGTTGTCTGATACATGGGGGATTAGGTCCTGTTGGTAGCTAGAAACTGACATAAATAATATTGTTACTGGTTGTACGTACCATTCGACTCAGGAAGGAAAACGTACATGGCTCTTGCCAAATCTCTACCCACCACACTCAAATTTTGCCTCAATTTCTTCAACTTAACTTATTATATGTATTTTCCATTTACAGCTTAATTCTTCCAAACCAGTAGAGTAACGTGTGGAACATAATTATCGATTAATAATTCTTTGATTACAAAGTATAGTTATGGTGTGTAACGTGTTTTTAATTATTATAAAGATGAGTGAATGAAAAAAGATTACAGCTTTATTAATCTGGCAGCCTGTGTCAAAATTATAGGGTCTCTTGATTATCTCTTCCACCTAAATTATTGACTGGATGAAGTATATACTAAGACAAAAATGGAAATAAGATCTTCATATATTAATAATTTATTTACAAACATAGAACAGCTATCAAATTCTACAAACATCACATGGACTAATAAGAAACACACTGTTACATTAATTAATTATCGAACTAAAAACATAATATATATATATATATATTCAGATAAATAATTGAAAAAAATTAATACACTCAACCAAATATATATTAGATTGGTATATTATCATTTATTATAATTATTCATATATAAATTATTGACTTGCAGACTAACTAACAAGAGTTCATTTAAATTTGCAAAGCCTTTTTGTTATAAAATTTAGGTGCACAACAATTCAAATATCGTAAACTGTTTTTAGTAAGTGAAAATTCATTGCGTTTCATTCAATTACTCTTACATATATAACATTATTACCTATAACACTTTTTAGTTTAAGTCATTAATTAAATTAAAATATTGTGTATTCTTTTAGCTAATATGTTGTAGTTACTCACTCTCATATCATATTCAAATTACCTCACTAGCTAATTCTATTTTATATCTTATAAAATTGGAATGGAGTACATGCCTAATTGAAAAGAGAAAGAAAAACTTCATAGATTCGCATGACCCACGTGAAACAGGAAAAATCGAAATCACACATTCAAAATACTTACGAAATTACTTATAAATGGAATTCAATCTAATTGGAAGAAGAAAAAAAAAAACTCATATTGTTGGAGAAACAAACAATATAGTGATGGTGCTTCTATAGGAAGGACCATTTAATATATAGCTAGCACAAGATTGTTGCATAATTGCATATAGTTTGGCATGAGATACTTGATTGTGGATTTCGAAACTAGGTCTGCGTATATCCTTCCTACTATTAATCACAACCATGCATGCATTGTCATCTTCCTCCATTTACTACACTTTTCACCTAAATTCTTTCTCTCCGACGACGATGAGTAAAAGAACCCTCAGCCACCAAGAAGCCCTACCATAGTTTTAATTAATCATACAAATAATGCGACCTAATAGTCTAAAAATGGGTGCTTATAACATGCACGTTTTGTAATTGATTGAGCCGGATTTGTGTTTTAAAAACTTGGCGTCTTTTCTGGTTGATATCAAAGTTCCTGTCGGGTGAAGGTCAATCTAATTGACTTTATGTATCGTAATGAGTTTAGTTGTAATTTCTTTCTTTATAAAACAATGATAAATTATAATACCTTTTATTGGATAATTCTGGAACATCTTTTGGTTACGAACCAATAAGTAACTTTCTTACCAAATTTCAATACAATAGCATTTCCAAAGATAAAAAAATCACATGAATGAACGTGACTCGAACTCGCACATGTAATGGAGAGTTGAATTGTCTCACTTGTACTAATCCATGTAAGTTGGAATTGGTTGATAATAATATCTTGTTTAAATTCTAGTATGGAGCTATTTCAATTCATTTAACACTTCAAATTAAGGGACGTATTAAAGATAATAAATATATAAAGATATTAATAACATACTCTTTTAACATGTTCTTTTGCATGTATTCATTGTTACTTATGAAATACATAGATATATTTTTTAATTTTTAACTTATTGAAGAAAAAAACTCTTAATATAAGTCTATGTCATTAAATATTTTTTTCTTAACTACTCTAATTTTAGTAATATT